CATATTTGAAATTTTGCGGATTTGTTGTGCTTTTCTGAGTTTACTCTATGGTGTTCATTATTTGATTTAAAAATAGTTTTGTTTAGATCTTTGAATAAGAAGACTAAGGAAGGAGCATATCAAAAATCTTAGGTACACCGCGATGGGCCTCAAATATGGCCGACTTAAATTCCGGTTTATCAGTGCCGTTCTAATTTTATTTAAAACATGTAAAACTATGATGTAGGGTAGACGTGGGATAGACTCAATAATTTGTTATTTTATTTTACGTTGTGAATAAATGTTGGTAGTTATTAAAATTGTTATAAAAATATATAATTCTAATAAAAATAGATAAGTTATAATAAGTATTTATTAACACAAACATCCGATACGCTACTGAAGCAGGTAAGTCAAATTAACGTATCAAACACTGCTAAAATTTAATTAACAACCATTTTTGTTTATATCATAACACTAAATTGTATGATGCACATATTTTTAAAAAACAATGTGTTGGAATACATAACATATATATTAGTTAGTAATTTTATTTTTATCTACAACCGTTTAGTTATAAGGTTTTTACATCACTATTTTTTTGGTATTTCAGTTACGTTGAGATTCATAACACAATTAGTGGTGTTATAAATCTATAACACAACTAGTTTATAATGACAATTTAGACAATTCCCCACAAGTATAATTAAAAAAATGTGACAAATGTCATAGTTAAAGGTGGGCGACTAATAAACGAAAATTAAAACAGCATTTTCTTATTTTTCGGTTGTAGATAAAACGTTGTACATGACACGTGCGTTTAAACATGATTCCAACACTCGTGTGATCAGAACGACTCAGTCTATGACCTCGTCGTTCTAATCGTTCACACTCGTTGTTGTAATCATGTTCATAAACACACTTGTACTGTAAATAACTATTATAAGTTAATAAATGTCTCGGTCGGAGGGGTCGGGGGCTTGTCGGACGACGAGATTTAGTTAGGTTAGAGTCTTACTGGCCTTACTCTTCTTTATTTTGAAAAAGGCGTTTACTGCATTGAGGATGATTTAATATCGATTTTTTATTGAGTAGAACTGGTGCAGATCGAAACATTTGAAAAAACAATTTTTTGGAAATAGATATGTGGATCTGGAAACTTTCTATTCTTTTCTGGTTTTTCTATATAAGGTATTATTTTTTGACAAATTTTATGTCAATTCTCAGTAACTGACGTCTAGAGTTCTATCTCGTCAAAAATAGCATCGATAGTCATTCCTAAGCCGCCTTTGACGCCGTTTTTTCTCGATCATACGGTACTTGCTTAAATTTTTGTTAAACCCAATATATCATGTTAAACATTTTGTTACATGTTTTTTTTTGCATATTAAATTTTGATTTAACTATTTCTTTACATACGTTTTTAAATAAACTATCTTAACCATAATATTAGAAGTTCTCTATCTTATATGCTGATTGACATTTTTCATACTATTATACCGTATGATCGAAAAAAACGGCGTCAAAGAAGGCCGGGTATTGAGAAACGATGATAATTTTGGCGAGGTCAATCTCTAGAAGTCATTTACTAAAAACTGCCATGAAACTTTTGAAAGCAAAAACGTTTCCAGACACACAAATCTCTTTCAAAAAAAAACTACACCATTTAAAAATATTTTTTATTCAATATAAAAATAAATATTGTAATCGCAAAACATTTTCCGATGCACGTTATCAACCATATCGACATCGACACTAAAGTCTATAAACCTGACTTTAATGATTGTAACAGATATTTTATTTAGATTAAAGCTGCAAAAATTAGTTTAAACCGAATTTTATTATCGTTATGTTGGTCACATTGCGCCGTGTTTAGCAATGTTGTCCTATATTATTTGACAATTATCCTAGTGTCAGTCATTATTTTGTATAATATCGAGTTATTGTTGAATCTCTGTGAGTAATTTTCGTTTTTTTGCCTATTTTCATAGTCTTTTTTTTAAATTGCACGTTTAAGAACAAACAGTTCTTTTAAGAACTAAATTTTTGAGTTTTTGTATAGCATTTCTTAAAATTGTATGTTGAAAATGTGCCGAAGCATTTACACAGTCGAAGCAAAGAGCTTGGAGCTTCCCTATTTTTTTTAAAACTATTTTGAACGAGAACGTGACAATAAAGATACTTTATTATCCTTGACTGCAGTCAGAAAAGTAAGTTTGATTGATAAGCACATTATATTACTTTCAAAGTTAGTTTTTATTAAATTCTGTGATTATTAGTTTGTGCATTAATAGCACCCTCTTACTTGTTATTACCATTTATGGCGTTGTAAGATGTAGATCAATAAATAAGTAACCCATAATAACGCTTATAATAAAGTAAAATAAGTTATAAAACAAATAAATCAATTAATCACTAAATATTAGTTATTAAATTAAAAATAAAACGTAAAACTCTTTAAAAAATGATATACTAAATATTTCGTTTGTGAATTTTAAATTAAGATTCATCTCATAAATCCATCACAATCTGGCAGCCCTGTCGCAATCGCTTGTCACTCAAAGTTGATCACGTGCATCGGAAATTGTTTTGCGATTACCATAACAACCTTCTTAAGGCTATTAAGAAGTCAGCGCCATTAAGAAATAAAGAAGAGTACAGGCCGAGACATCTAGGGCTTGACCTCGCCAAAATTATCATCTATTGTCATTCCCAGCCAGTCTTTGTCACCGTTTTTTTTTCGATCATACGGCGCCTTTCTATATTAGTCCATTTTTAGTAAATTCCATAAATTATTTTTAATAAATTCTTTTAATAAGATCCTAACAACATTTAGTTATATATACAAAATAAGTCTTTAGTATAACAATAAATAAATCTAGTATTTTTAAAAATATTGTGAATATGTTTGTTAAGTTTTTCTTTCTAAAAAAACTTTTGAAAAAAGAATTTTTGTTAAAAAATGAGATTCTCTAAAGAGGTTTATCAAAAATAAGGTTTACATTTGCAAAAAATAGTGATTGTTTTATGTTTGTTACCTTGTAGTTGTCTTATTTTGTATGTTACTTTATATATGCTTGTAAAAAGTGTTGATAATAGTAGCTGTTATATTTTTGATTAAAATTATAACACATTATTGACTCTTAAAACTGTGTATGCTTTGTTTTAACAGCTAAAATAAAGAACTGACTCTCTTGTTTAATGTGTTACTTTACCTGTGTCTTTTGATGTGTATCAGAATTACATCCTGTATAGTAATTATTAAGATATACATATATTTTTACGATAAAAAATGCAAAGGCTAGAATTAATCGAAAGCCATTCATAACCAAAAATATCACAGAGAAATAGATTTGCAGCGGTGTATTTCGAGGATATGTAGAGTGAAGTGTAAAAACAATACCTCCTAAAATAGTGAGGCCTCGCTTTTATAATTCGAAGAGAAATTAATATCGTCATATCGAGTGACAGTATACCTTTTTGTTGTAATGACAGGAAGATTAAATATAAATACACATTTAGGTTGGAGAGTATGAAAGAGTGTAAAATTTAAGGTCTTGTAAGATAATCTATTAAGGATTTTATTATTTTGTTCTTACTAAGATATTATTTTATCGAATAGATATATATCTTTTCTTCCGAAAAAAAAACCTCAAAAGATAGTATATAAACCAATTACTAAAGAATACAAGGACACGTAACGCTGGACAGAATTAGTGCTGTTAGACGCTATTTTTTGGAGACAGCGGATGTGTCAACAGCGACAATTTTAGCGATTTTTATTAGTTTGTTGTGTATAGTGAACTTTGTATAAACTTTATTAAAAAAAGTAAAGAAAAGTAAAGAAAAGTAAAGATTTCAGTTAACGTCTCCTTTTTCCCTTACCGACTTGGCAAGTATCTAAATCGATTCTTACTCACGAGATATCCGATTTCATCCGGCCTCGAACCGGCGTGAATGAGCAGTGTGTGTCAATAGATTTTACACTTTTGCCTTTTTTTGGACAACAGCACGATACAGAGTTTTGAACCGGTCACCCGTCCATCGACTAGTATCGTCTTACGTCGCTTAACTTCGCTGTTCTAATGGGAACCGGTGTTTGGACGTAGCTGGGCCGTTGCCCTAAACTTTATTACAATGGTGATTTGTTCTGCTTTCAAGTGTAAAAGCCACAAAGTTAAGAAAAAGCCAGGAGTTACGTTTCATAGGTAAATAAACCGTCCACTCCGCCTTTTTGGCGTTTTCTTATTGAATTTCATAATTATTTTTTGAAATATTATACTCGTATGTACTTGATATGTGCTATACGTCGATACTAGTTTTGTACATTTTGTTAACATTTTAATACTTTTTTTTTGTAATTAATTAGTATGAAACTACAGATCACACCATAGGCGTAGTCAAAACATTTATCAAAAATATAAATATCTCTTCAAACAGCTAAGTTAAGAAAAATATGTAGCACGGCACTGTTTGGAGACAAGGTAACGATTTGGTCTTGGATGATATTGGTCCTTGTAATTTTTAGTCATTGGAATTTCTCAAATTTATTGCTAATCAAACGACCAAATTCAGAATGTCAACTATTTAAATAATTAATTATTGATTGCTCCGTATATATTGTTGTAAATAAACTAAATAACAATATCCATAAAAATTTATCCATTAAAGTTAGCTTAAAATATCACAGTTTGACTTTAAATATCTACAAACCAATTAAATCTATTTTTATGTAGTTATTTATACCTGTTAGTAATGACGTCAAAAGTACCAAAACCCAATATTTTAGGGGGTATTGTTCATAGCCACGTTGACTATTAAATTTTAAGCTTTCCTTTTTCCTTTACAAGTCAAAAAGTTTCACCGATCGAACTGTCAGATAAAAATGCTAACACAGTCATGCTTAAAGCTAGATTTGTACAATGATAAGATATGGAAAAATCAAAAACAGAAACATTTGGGCATACAAAAAACGATATTATAGGTTAGCGTAAAATAACGTGACTTGTGCTGGTTTATACCGGTGTTTTGGGTAGTTTTCTTCGGGTTGGCGACGAGGGAGTTTTTTCGTTTTCTGGTTCTGAAACAAAAAAAAAAGATTTGTTAAAAAATGTTCAGTGACATTGTTACTAAAAAAGGGTCCTACACGCAACGATATCTGATAGATTTAAACTGTATAGTCCTACGATTCAGTACAAAAAACTACGGACATGGAAGAGATGAGATTTGCGATTTTTCATTGTGCTGAATATTTTTAACTGCACTGACTACAGTCTTGGCGGGAAATGTATTAGACTATACAGGGTTATTCACAACATACAACACGGAGTATTGTAGCTAAACGATTAGATTTTTACAAATTGTAAGTTTTGGGTTCATTGAAGGACTATTAGAGTTTAGAAATATTTTTACAAAATACAGAGTGTCCCAAACAAATAAAAAATATTATAGTTGTATTTTTTTAAATGGAACACCCTGCATATTTTTTTTAGAATCAGATGCACAGTTTAATTGTCTATCAAATTGTATTATACCATTTTTATCTATCTCTTCAAGTTTTCGTAGAAAATGTATTTTCTTATAATTTGGACCTCATTTATCATTATACCCATGGAATATTGATATTTTAGATTTTTTAAAGCAACATATATACAAAATGTACAGGTGGTAAAAATAATAATATTGCAAGCCCATACAAAAAGAAAACTATTTAAGTCTATGTAAAAAAGTATACCAATTAAATATACCACTATTATGTCCGCCCAAAAATTAGTTAATTACATACTTAATTGTTTTAGTTAATAAATTATTCTAAATAAATGTAGATTTGAATCAGAAATCAATATAATAATAAGTTATGAAAATGAACGTCTCTGCTGTTATAAATAAGCATTCGTCAAAAAATTAAATAAAATTTATAAGTTGTTAATTTTTACTACACTGTCTAATACACATTCAAAATTCAGTTTTTTAGTATTTGGAGTAATAAGTATTAATCAACACAAACAGTCAATTAAAGTAGTTTGAATACTGGAATCATATTAATTGGTCCTCTTTAACAAATATTTAAACAGTTTTTTTTTTATTTTTTAATGAAATAAATGAATTATATCGACAATATTAGTATCTGTACTCTTTGAAATTTTTTTTTAAATAATCTAAAATGTCCATCCAAATATTCCATGGGTATAATGATAAATTAGTCTAAATTATAAGAAATGCATTTTCTGCGAAAACTTGAAGAGATAGGTAAAAAATGGAATAATACAATTTGATATACAATTAAATTATACATCTGATTCTCGTAAAATATACAGGGTGTTCCATTTAAATTAAACAAGTTATTACCGTTTAAAACTAGTAATTATTTAAAATACATTTTTAGACACTCTGTATAAGGTAGTACTTATAATTTTCATTACTGCAACACAAAATTTAGTAAATAGGAAAACTTCAGTAAAATATTTGGTTTTAAAAACTTAAATACGCCTAGAGAAATAAAGCATTAAAATTGTTACTGTATTTTGGCAAAAAACGTAAATATTTCAAAAACGGTAAGATTAAAATGCGGTTAACCTTAATCAAATTTATCTTTATTTTAATTGTAGAAACTAAAAATGTAATAGTATACAAGGCATTCAATTTAAAAAATAAAACTTTGATATTTTTTATTTATTTGGGGTATCTGTATCTTAGAAAAATATTTTTAAATTGTCGCTCTAATAGTCCTTCAACGAACCAAAAACTTACAATTTGTATAAATCTAATCGTTTAGCAACACTAATCCGTGTTTTATGTGGTAAACAAACCTGTAGACTGTCGAAATTATCTGTTATAAAATCTGAATATGTAATGTGAATAAAACGCTATCGATTTGGTCTTAAAGGGACCCTACACGCAACGATTTTATGCGTATGCCAAATCGCAAAGTTCAGATCTTGAGAATTATTCTTCTTATTATTATTTTTTTCCAAGTAATATTTTCCATTTATGGCCACATACCGACACCCAAGTTTCACATTAATATCCTTGATGAGATTATCGATCTGCTTTTCCAGACCCTTGTCCCGTGCTCAGAAACGAATGGACAGAATCTTTCCAAGTTTTAATGGATAATAAAGTTATTATCGCACGGGAAGGTCCCTTGGGAATCCGTCATCTTTCGCAGACGACAGAAGTAATATTAGAAGGAAACAACGAAGATTGTAAGGAGGCCGAGCTCAAGAATGGACCAAAATTATTTTTATATCAGGTATTCTACGTCTTTGATGGTTATTTTACAGTGGCGTGTACAATTGGCAAAGTTATAAAATAACAATAGGTTGTAGATTAAATGGGAGGTAGAAATATAATCACCGCAACCTTATAAATCTGTCGTGACCCCCTTTCTTGAGTTATAACTTATCACAGTCTCGGGGATTTGATAAAAGCCATTATCCTATATGTTTTCCCTCCTTAATAACGTTTACTCCAGCCTAAACAACCATCATTCTACAGCAACAATTTTCTGTGATTTTTCTAAGGCGTTCGATTGTGTAAATCATAAGATCCTAATTAATAAACTGCAGCACTATGGGTTCAGGGAATCATCTCTCGAATGGTTTAAGTCATATCTGAGCAACAGAAGTCAACTTGTGAGGGTGGATACCACGTTGTCTTCTAGCAAGCCAATAGAATGTGGAGTACCACAAGGCTCAGTACTAGGCCCTATTTTGTTTCTTCTTTTTATTAACGACATTGCTAACATAAACATCAGTGGCAAAATATGTCTTTTTGCGGACGACACTAGCTTCACTTGGAGCAACAAGGACCTCACGGCACTTCATAGGATTATATCGATTTCCTATGCGATACGAACCTCCTGAGTCTCAACATTTCTAAAACTAAAGCTTTGTCGTATAAAAACTCGTTGCAGCCTTTTGTACTTAACAACACCACCATTGACGTCGTAAAATCTGTAAAATTCTTAGGGCTTGTTGTGGTTTGGTTTGAGGGGGGGGGAAGAAATGGGACATACATATCGAAGCTTTGTCGAAAAAATTGAGCTCTGCCTGTTTTGCATTAAGGTCTGTTTCTAAGGAGCTTAACTTGTCAGTGGCTAGAACTGTTTATTATGCACTTTTTGAGTCGCACCTCAGGTATGCCATTCCATTCTGGGGTACGTGTTGTGCGACTCAATTTGACCGCATTTTCAAGCTCCAGAAGAGAGCTGTTCGATATTCACTGGGACTGAACAGCAGAACTCATTGCCGGGACTTTTTTAAAGAATTAAAAATATTGACTCTTCCTTCCTTATTTATATTTGAATCCGTTTGCCTAATACGTAAATATGTATCAGCTTCTCAAGAAAGGCCATCTCACACTTATCCACTCAGGAACGCGGAGCAAGATTTTTATCTACCTACCCCACGCTCAGAGTTAGTTAAAAGTTCAATATTATACAACTCGAAAAAAATGCACAATCACCTGCCATTTGAAATCAAATCCATAACATCAATTTTTTCATTTCGCAAAGCATTGAACTCTTATTTACTAGACAAGGCTTTCTACGCCGTAAATGAATTATATTTGAATTGAAAATCGAATTTGATCTTGAAAACACTGGTCTAATGTTTGCTATTGCTATATTTACTAATGACATCGAAATTAATTTATTTAGAGGTCATTGATATTTTGCTATAAACTGGCTAAATATTTTTAAATATTATTTTTATTTTTTTTTGTTCTTTGACATTGTAAACATTTATAAATGCTTATTTTAAACAATAAGACTGATAATATTATTTGTATAATGTTTTGTATTATCTTTTGTTTGTTTGTTTGTTTGTGTACCTTGTTTTTTTTACTTTGTTTGTTAGTTTACCTTTGTCTACAAATTGAAAAATTTTTTGACAATAAAGGCATTTATGTATTTATTTATTTTTCTGATACGGTTTTACAGAGGTTAGTTCTCTATATCATCTGTATATGGTACGAATGGTTATCATCTCGGCGCATTCAGTGATGAGGTGCTCTGACGTTTCCTCATTTTCCCCACAGAATATGCATTGGTCATTGTTTCTTAGCTTCAATCTACTGAGATGTTCATTGAGGAAACAGTGTCCTCTTTAAAACCCCGTGCCAATCCAAAGATTGTTCTTATTTAAATCAAGGAAAATTTTTGATTTTTCTCTATCGTAAGTCCTGAGAAATATCTTCGTGTCTTAGACCGATGGAAGATTCCCAATCAAAGTTACAGATTGATTTTTCCAGGTTCTTGAGTTTTGCTTTAAGTTGGTTTGCAATTGGGAACATGAGAACAGGATGATTTTTTTGATTTTTTTTAAATTTTCAGTTAAAATATTATCCTTTGATAAATTTGATTTTTTTCTGATTTCCTTGCATTTTTCTATGAATATTTTGTAGTATTTCTTTATTTTAAGACTACTTTTATACAAACTAGAGATCTGAGTAGACATCGTGTCAAAATCTTAATTACAGTGAGGTTTTTGTGAATATTAGAAAATGGCTTTAAAAATAGATATAGCGTGTGTTTTTAAAATATTTGAATCTCACCATCGAGTTCTCGAAAACGATAATTGGGGAAAGCTGTCTGTCGATGAGCCCAATGATAATCCATTAAGTAGTTGAATTGAAGGTACCGTTTAGATTTACTTAGCAATCGAAATAGTAGATTATTCTTTTATAATTAAGGTTTTTAATTTCTTTCTAACAATATTTTAATAAAAAATCATTTATTAAACTATGTCCTTTAAAGTTCTCAAATTAATTAAAATTCTTCTCTGAATTTTAAATATTTCTGTCTTCTATTCTTCGAGAATCTCGATAATTAGTTTTAGTTTTTAAAATATTTAGCCAATTCCTTCGATGCCTTGGCACTTTCGATCAAAGAATTATCTAATCAATAAATTTTAATAAGGCGAGAAATTAATTTCCAACTTCTATTACTTTTATTTTTCTTATTTATTTGCAAAATATTTCAGATAGATGTCTCGTTGTCCCATTACTAACTATTAATTAATTTAAATCTTAAAAGATTTTGAGTTTGTTAATATTTCGAACATGTGTAAAAGATAGACTAATCCTATACATTGATTTAGGTGGAGCCCATATATACAAGAAAAATGTAAGCAAACCATTTGTTTATTCACTGTTGGACTTATTCACTGTGTAAAAGATAGACTAATCCTATACATTGATTAGGTTGAGCCCATATATACAAGAAAAATGTAAGCAAACCATTTGTTTATTCACTGTTGGACTTGATTTAAATAAAAAATAAATTAAAAATAAATAAAATGTATGAGATGTAGATGTATAGTTCATATCAAATAAACTTTAAGTCACGTGATTCAGCTTGACCGGCACAGCGTTGCCCACTTTTACTTTTTTTCTTTTAATCAAAATATTTTAGGAAACAAAAATAAATTAATTATAAATAAATAAAGAGTTTATTCACATCAATAAAAGTCAGCTTCTTAAAAGCACTTAAAAACGTAAAGGACCATTACTACCGCTTTGCCTTAAAATATTCTAATAAAGTTGCGATGAGTTTTTTACGGCTATTAAGCTATCTTGTAAACTTCACACTAAAGAGGTTCTAAAAAGAACAATGTTCGACTGCAAGATCTGCTAGTAAAATTTTTTAGGCTTAAAGTATCACAACACAATTTATTTAAACCAAAAACTCGTAATAAAAAAACTAAGATGTTAAAACGAATGGCAATGTCAGGAAATAAATAAATAAATATGGCAACTTGACATATTTTACAACAGAGCTACCACCTGAATCCCCAGCGGGAAATTTAAATTCCAGTAAGTCAGGTCGGCGCCGAATATATCCATGGTTGGCAACAATAAATTTTAAAAAATCGCGCCATCGATTACGTAACTAAAAGTTTAATTGGTATAAAATATATTTCATAGTCTCGTCAGGAAATATTTTCCATTATGAAATCATCATAAAACCCAAATTGCTGATAGGTGCAGTTGAAATACAGTTTTTTAATAAAGTAAAGTGTTTTAAAACTACATTACAAACTTATATTTTAAATAAGCGCATTCTAGTGTTATCCTAAAGGTAAAATAATGCTTCTTCTCTCTCTAGAGGCTCGAAGCGAATAAAAATAAACAAACCGCACAACGACAAAACTTTTCAGCCGTAAATAATAATTACAGCGTTATATTTGCCCGGAAAAACTTTTTGCTCAGCTTAGAAAACTGCCGCAACATTGAAAAGTTTCTCGACTACTTTCGTGTTCAAAGCAATCTAGAATTTATGATGTAATAAATACATATAGTATTCACTTTTTTTTCATAATTTTGCTGGGTGTGATTATCGTGTTCTGCATAAGTAATATTTTTCTCTGGGTGCCAGATAGAGGTGTGTAGTTCGTGAACGAACTAGTTCCAATGAACTATTCCGACCCCAGAATGAAAGGAACTAGTTCCCGGTTTCTCAAAGAACCTATTCCGGGATCGAGACTGTGGCAGATATATATTAATATGCGACGGCGACGGATCGGCCAGCGCGATCGTAGCTCGATGCTAGGCAGGAGTGGGGAGTGCCAGCCGTATGTTATCTGATCTGGACCAAAAGGAAGTAAGTAAAAGACTAGTTTACGTACGGATCGGCCAGCGCGATTGTAGCCCGATGCTAGACGGGAGGGGAGAGTGCCATCCATATGTTACATGTCCCAGACCGAAAGGACTGAGAGGAACTAGAGGAGCTAATTAAAAAACTAGTTCACGGGAATCTGTTCAGTCGACGACGATGGATTCGGCCTTGTCTATTCCCACAGTGAACTAAAGACCTAGTTCAATGAACTATTCCTTTGGAATTCTAGTGCCTAGGGGCTTAAGAACCTAGACTTAAAATAAAACATCATCCGTAACCTGGAATGGAAAAGTTAAAATTTTTTACTAGCAGACCTTGCAGTCGAACATTGTTCTTTTTAGAACCTCTTTTAGTGTGAAGTGTACCGGGTGGTCAACTAAGAATGGACGCCGGCTGTATCTCAGAAACTACTTATCGTATAACTTCGGGAAAAAAATTCTAATAAGTAAATTGACCAAGAGAAATCGCTGGAAATTTTTTTATGCAAAAGCGCAATATCTTTTATGATGTCAAACAGCGCCCTCTAGCTACCATGAAAAAAATTATGGAAACAAAATTTGCACTGGAGATTATTAAGGAAAAAAAGATCTTTTAAACAAGCCCCAGTTTGTTTAAATCGGTTAACCTAAACCAGAGTTATCCCTATTTTAATAAAAGCAAGTTTAACCTTCCCCCACCACTTTATTTTATGAGATAGAGCAAAACACTCTGTATCAAAAAAATTACAAATTTCTCGATGATTACAATAATAAAAACCTTGTTTTCTTATTGGCTATCCGAAAAACACCCCCTAGCGGACATTTTCCGAACTTGAAAATAATTTCCAGCGATTTCTCTTGGTCGATTTACTTATTAGAATTTTTTTCCCGAAGTTATACGATAAGTAGTTTCTGAGATACAGCCGGCGTCCATTCTTAGTTGGCCACCCGGTACAAGATAGCTTAATGGTCGTAAAAAACTCGTCGCAATTTTATTAGAATATTTTGAACGGGAAAGCTGTAGTAATGGTCTTTTATGTTTTTAAGTGCTTTCAAGAAGGTGAGTTTTGTTGATGTAAATAATAACTGTTTATGTATTTATAATTAATTTATTTTTGTTTCCTAAAATATTTTGATCTCGATTGTGATTAAAAGAAAATATTTAAAAGTGTGTGCCGGTCAAGCTTAATCACGTGACGAAAAGTTTATTTGATATAAACCATACATCTACATCTTATACGTTTTTTTTTATTTTTAGTCTTGTTATTTTTAATTTAATTCTAATTCAACAGCGAATAACCAAACGGTTTGTTTGCATTTTTCTTGTATATATCTGGCTCAACCTAAATCAATTGTATAGTATTAGCCTATCTCTAATATACGTTCAAAATATCAACAAACTCAAAATCTTTTAAGGTTTCAACAGCGAATAAACAGATGGTTTGCTTACATTTTTCTTGTATATATTGGCTCAACCTAAATCAATGTATAGGATTAGTCTATCTTTTACACATGTTCGAAATATTAACAAACTCAAAATCTTTTAAGATTTAAATTAATTAGTACTTAGCAATGGAGCAACGAAACATCTATCTGAAGTATTTTTCAAATAAATACGAAAAATGAAAGTAATAGAAGTTGAAAATTAATTTCTCGCCTTATTAAAATTTATTGATTGCATAATTCTTTGGCCGAAAGTGCCAAGCGATTGAAGAAATTGGCTAAAATATTTTAAAAACTAAAATTAATTATCGGGATTCTCGAAGAGACAGAAATATTTAAAATTGCCAGAAGAATTTTAATGAATTTGAGAACTTTAAAGGACACATCAGTGCCGTTCTAATTTTATTTTAAAAAAATTATTATTCAAAACGTATAAAAATATGATGTAGGGTAGACTCAATAATTTCTTGTTCTATTTTACGTTGTCAATAAATGTTGGTGGTTATTAAATTGTTATAAAAATATATAATTCTTTTTTTCCAAGATGTTCACAACACTGTAGGTGATATAGGTACTCACCGACATGTAAAGCTGTGATGTTGGCCTCTGACGGTTTCCTGCACACTGGCGGGGGTTGCGGGGGCTCGTCCAAAAAGTCGCACATCCTTAGGTCAGTGGCGTGCTCGACCAGCAATTCCACAGTGTCGCCGGTGTGGTCCATGATGGCGCACACCTCCTCGAAATTGCGATCTATGAGGGAAACGCCTCCCCATTCAAGAACCTTTAAAAACGTGACGGTCAATAAAATTGGAACAAAATAAAATGGGAGCACTCTAGAGGGTGTACCATTTTCGTTCTTTTACAGAGTTTCTCTTTTATTAGTAGATATACAGGGTTTTCCGAACTGTATTCTGGTAACTTCGGCAGCATATTCTACAAATAAACATAAGTAAAAAAAATCGTATAAAGGTATGTCCTAAAATGCTTAGTTTCGGAGATAGTACAGGGTGTAGAAGTTTTATTTTTATTTCGATTTTTTCCAAATAATTTCTGAAGTAACATCAATATTTGGATGAACATTGGTGTCTGGAAGTTTTTTGACATGAGAAATTTGATTTTGATGTCAATATGACTCCTACTTGTAGAGGACGCCACATACATATTTTTAACTGGTTTTTAGAGTAATCAGTTTTTGTCCGTATAAAACTACTGAGTAAAAAAATATACATTCGCGACATTTTTTACGTAAAAAATGTCTCTTGAAAAAAATCACTACGAATAATGGTTCTCGAGATATTTGAAATCGAAATTATCAATACCTCTCATCATTGACATAAATTAAACTTGTTAACCAAATAGTTATTAGGCTGAAACCATAAATTTGAAATGTTCAACAGAAACTGTTTTTTCATCATTTTTTTCGAAGAAAAATTTTTGATTAATTTAAAAAAATAAAAAATTCCCAAATTAATAATTTCAGTCAAATAACTATCTACTCAACATAATACACAATTCTTTCAATCAACGATAATATGTTTATTTTTTTGTCAATAATGGCCGCATGTCATTGTAAATATCTTGAGAACGGTTGCTCGTAGAGATTTTTACCGAGAGACATTCTTTACGTAAAAAATCACGGATATATTTTTTCACTCAGTAGTTTTATACAGGTGCGGACGAAAAGTTATTACCCTTCAAAACAGGTAAAACATACAGGGTGGCGCCTCTCATACGCCGCGGAAGCTCCAAGGAGAACGGCAGTTTATATCGAAATGAAATTTTGGCAGCATATGTAGGCTAACTGAAAGCATATTATAAAAATATATAGAATTATACAGGATGTCCTCAAAAAAAGTTACAAATCAAAGTTTTCTAATGGAACACCCTATATATTAATTGATTTTCTGATTGTAGGAAAAAAATAAAGGTGGGTTTTATTAAAGAAGCATATACCTAAAATCTAAGGATTTTTTACATATTTCACATTTTGTGAAAATGAAGAGTAAATTTTAAATTTCGATAACAGCTACCTAAATTTTGGTTGACCTTGTATAGCCTGATATTTAATTACAGTAACCATTGTATGTTAAACCAAATTGAAATTTGACCCGAAAAGTTATACAGGGTGAGACAAAATTAATATGGAACATTAGTCACTTTTGTAAGCAAGTTACTCCTTTATTTTAAATGGAACACCCAGTATATTTTTCCGGTGTTCGATGGGGAATTTATATATCTTCAAAATGTTATCAAGGTTACCTACCCCTCAGACAAAGATTTTCCCAGATATTTTAATTTTTATGATTTTGCGACAGTAAATCTTTATTATTTGAAAAAATCTAGGTGGCTGTGTGATATACCTTTTGTTAATTTAACAAAAAATAAAGATTGTAGAGTAAAATAATCAAGGGTAATAAAAAGATAAACGTTTAAAACATATTTTAAGTATTACATAATTAAAACTATATATAAACATATAATTTTGCGACAAATATTAGCTAGATTAAATCAAATGCTCATAATGCTTCCTTTCCTGTTAACTGCATAAAATGATTTCAAAGGGATATTTTCCTTTTAAAAGACATATGTGGAGTTCTACCTCGAAAAGCAGCTACAATAATTTCTCTCATGTTGTCGACACTAGCGTTGGTCGAGTTTTGTAAACACTGTCTTTAACATATCAATATTAACTAAAAAAAAACAGACTAGATAAAATCAGGAGCATTTAAGTATTCTATTAATAGTTGGTGAATACACATTGCATTCACCAACTTATAGAATCATATCAATTCTGTCTGATGTAGGATAAGTTTGCATTTTCGGCAAATTTCTGAGAAATTTTTTTGTTTTAACTGATACAAAATGAGAAATAGTTGTTAAAGTTGGACTAATTAGACAGCTATGTTGAAGTAACGTCAGACATATATCACAGCCAACTAGATTTTATCAAATAATAAAGATCTACTCAGATCAAATCATGTAAATGAAAATATCTAGGAAAATATTTGTTTGAGGGGTAGGCAACCTTAATAGTATTTTGTAGACATGAATTCTCCATTGAATATCGGAATAGTATACTGGGTGTTCAATTTAAAATAAGAGAGTAACATGCTTTTAAAGGTGATCAATGTTCAATATTAATTTTGTCTCACCCTATATAACTTTTAGGATCAAATTTTAATTTGATTTAAAGCACAACAGTTAATTTAACTACATATTAGACTATACCGGGCAAATTCCAATTTAGGTAGCTTTTATTGTAATTTAAAAATTGTTCTTTATTTCTAGAAAATGTTAAATATGTCAAAAACCCTACATTTTAGTCATATACTTCTCTTATAAAACTCACCTTTATTTTTCTCCTAGAATCCGAAAATCAATTAATATATAGGGTGTTCTTTTACAAAAAACACAACTTTGACATGTAACTTTGTTTGGGGACACCCTGTAGAACCCTCTATATTTTTAAAAAGTGCTCTGAATTAACCTACATATGCTCACAAAATTTCATTTTAATATAAACTGGAGCTTCCGCGGCGTATGAGAGGTGCCACCCTGTATGTAGGTGGCGCCCTCTGCAAATAGGAGTCATATTGACATCAAAATCAAATTTTTCATAGCAAAAAACTCCCAAACACCAATTTTCATCCAAATATTGACGTTACTTTAGAACTTATTTGGAAAAAATCGAAATAAAAATGAAACTTCTACACCCTGTATCTCCGAAACTAAGCATTTTAGGACATACATTTATACGAAGTGTTTTTACTTATTTTTATCTGCAGAATATGCTCCCAAAGTTTCCGGAATACAGTTCGTACCACCCTGTACAGTGATATAGTTTTCACATTGTGTTTCTTTTTTATGAAACTTAAGATGCTATACACCGATTTGTTCTAGGCTCGGTGGTTTAAAAGTGGCCCCGAATTTGAAAATGTCACATTTGTCGACTTGTTTCGTATTTTGGGTATCTTATAACTTATTGAAAATATGAAAACTGAGTCTTGGTTTGGTTTTTCATGTAGAATTCAGTGGAGTAATTAGTTTTTTTTAGAGAGCTGTCATTTTCGAAATATAATTTGCACTTATATTTTTTAAATCGGATACCCTGTATACTATTATTTTATTAGTCTTTCCAAAAAAAAATCCTATGGGCATTTCGCCATTATTATTTATTTATTAGTCTTGTTATAGGCTTTCTAAAAATAGGAGTCTATACCTATTTTTAAACATAAGGTAAAACATTATTTACCCATTTTTTAAACATAAGATAAAGACATTTATATGAAATAATATTGAACAGTTTATTCAAATTCAGCTATAGTTTCATAGTTAGCTATTCAGTTTAGTCAAATTTTAGCAATTGGCTTTTTCCATGCTAGTTTCCGTGTGTGAAATTATTGCACGTGGGCTTCAAAAATATCAATAACTTAGATTGACAGCCCCGTGGTATCTAAAAGCTGCACATGTTCATTTTCAGTGCACTTTATTAAGATATTACGATGGAAAGCCAATTTATTTTTGGTTAAATTAAATAAAACAATATTTAAACAGTTTTTTTTTATTTTTTAATAAAATAAGCGAACTATATCGCCAATATTAGTATCTGTACTCTTTGAAAATTTGTTACATCTTTAAAAATAATCTAAAATGTCCCATTGGTATAGTGATAAATGAGGTCTAAATTATAAGAAAATGCATTTTCTATGAAAACTTGAATAGATAGGTAAAAAATAGTAAAATACAATTTGATAGACAATTAAATTGTGCATATGATTCACGTAAAATATACAGGGTGTTCCATTTAAATTAAACAAGTTATTGCCGTTTAAAGCTAGTAATTATTTAATATACATTTTTGGACACTTTGTATAAGGTAATAAAATTTTTATTATTGCAACACAATATCTGATCAATAAATAATCTTCAGTAAATATTTAATATTAAAAACTTTGATACCCTTGGAGAAATGAAGCCTTAAAATTTTTACTGCAATTTCATAAAATTGAAAATATTTCAAAAACGGTAAGGTTTAAGTGTGATAAACCTTAATCAAATTTATCTTTATTTCAATCGTAGAATCTAAAAATATAATAATATACAGAGTTCTCCATTTAAAAAAATACAACTATGATATTTTTACTTATTTGGGACACTCTGTATCTGTAAACATATTTTTAAATTGTAGCTCTAATACTCCTTCAACGAACTGAAAACTTACAATTTGTAAAAATCTAATCGTTTAGCTACAATACTCCGTGTCGTATGTGGTGAACAACCCTGTATAGGTTGTCTTATTAAAAAGAACATAAGTTTGAAATATATTTCGAAAAAGACAGCTCCGAATGAAAAACTAGTTACGCCACTGGATTCTACGTAAAAAAACACACTTTTTACCTTTCCGATAAGTTATCCAAGAAATCGAATAATAAAAGATATCCAAGAAGGGGGCCAAAAATGCAACATTTTTCACATTTATAATAGGGTGTTTCAAAAAACATGTGCCGCCCCTCGTGGGGAGATTCGTTACGTAAAAATAAGATTTATTTTTCATATCAACATAGGTCCGATTCTGCTTTGTTTCGTAGCTACAACAATAGGGTGTTAAATGTAGTACAACAATAGGGTGTTAAAATCTTAATATTTTTTCGATTTATTATAATTCTCTTCCAAGTGCTTTTAGCGTTTTGAATGAAATTTTGAGGTATAGGTACTATAAATGCGATATATTTTAAAGCTGAAAAAGTGTCGACATAATCACCAGGGACGTGCATATGGGTTTTCACTGGAATATTTAAAAAAAAAGAATGTACGCCACTGACTTTTTTTGTCTTGTTAGCGGAATAATGTAAACAGTTTGATGCCGATTAAAAATTGTCTCTTGATATTTTGTCGATTTCGGCCTCCTTGATGAGATAAATGCAATTTTATTAATTTGCCTTGATCCAAACCTAATAGCAATGTTTCAAAAATTTAATATCATTAACTTGCGAAAGTTTTAAATAAATATTCATTGATTCCTCATTAAAAAATTGAAAAAAAATTCCTATAAACATGGGTGTGAAAATGCATAGTTTTAGAGTTAGAGGATGTTAAAACTTTTTAAAATTATGTTTTTTGTAATTGTCTTAAATACCATTATTTTTTTATTAGTAGACTAATAGGAACAATAACTAATAGTAATAATATTTAATAATAAATTAGGTAAAATATATTTGATAATTGATATATTAATTTTATTTTAATTTTATTAATTGTGATTAATAAAATTGCGTTTATCTCATCAAGGAGGCCGAATTGGACAATTTATCAAGAGATAACTTTTAATTGGTAATAAACGGCCTACACAATTTTGATATCAAAAAGATAAAAGTCAGTGGCGCACATGTTTTTTTTGAAAAATATTCCAGTGATAACCCATGTGCACGTCCCTGATGAATTTATCGACACTTTTTAGGCATTGAAATATGTAGCACTTATAGTAACTTTTAGCCTCAAAATTGGAAGAAATATATAATCAATCAATACTTGGAAGAAAATTATAATAAATCGAAAGCTCAATAAGGCTTTAACACCCTGTAGCTACGAAACAAAGCCGAATCGGACCTATGTTGATATGAAAAATAAATCTTATTTTTACGTGAGGAATCTCCCCACGAGAGATGGCACATGTTTTTTGAAACACCCTGTATTTCGAAAAGAACAGCTCCCAACGAAAAACTAGTTACGCCACTGGATTCTACGTAGAAAACTCACTTTTTACATTTCCGATAAGTTATCCAAGAAATAGAACAAAAAAAGATATCCAAGATACGAAGGGGGTCAAAAAATGCAACATTTTTCACATTTATATTTTAGAAACCAAAGGGGCCAGGACATATCTGTATAGCATCTTTATTTTAATAAAAAAAGTAGCGGTAATAAAAACCGCATCTTTGTATCTCTAGTCATAAACAAGAAACCCCATAAAACAAACAAAAATGGGACACTCTCTACAACAAAACTGCAGTTACTGAAAAACTTTTGCTCAAAACAAAGTGATACTGTGACACAAAATAGAATTTATAATTGAATTAATTTTAGACAGGCTATTAACTAACATAAGAACACAGTAGATAAATTACGCAGTGTAGTAATTGCATTATATGGAGAAATGTAGTACAACAATAACGGTGTACTTAAATTTGTAATTACCTTGTCGCCTTGTTGTAGGCCGCCCTTCTCTGCCGGTCCCCCCGGCACCGTCCACACTATGTAGGCAAACAGATGACCGTCGGGACTAGTTTTGCCCCCCACCACTCTCATGCCGAAGCCTCGGGCTGAAATTAATAAACAGACAACAATAAGACAACCTTGTTTCGAAGTAAAGTCGAATACAAATTTTGAAAACATGATGTCTGGAAAAATGTTCTATCCTTTTTTTATATTCCTATAATTAGTGCTAATTTTTGATAAATTTATGTCAATTTTTCGTAAATGATGTCTAGAAACTGACTTGGGTAAAATGATCAACTATTGTCATTCCTCAGCCGTCCTTGACGCCGTTTTTTTTCGATCATACGATACTTTAAATATTTCTACACATTTTTTAAAATTGCTAAATATAGGAATATTTGTTATAAAGCATGTACTAATTATAATATGCACAAATCAAGTTAAAAGTATAAAATATACAATAACACCGCCACTGGATATTTCAATACTATCCAATATTTCTAATATTTCTAGGGAGGGGTAGAAAATTGCAGATAGCATTGGTCAATAGGAAAACGTTATGCGCATGGCTACTGCCTGGCAACGAAACGTGCTATTATCTCCACCAATCAGGTTGAATCCGGGATGCCATGAGATGAATTTTCTGGGTTGTTGTCTAAGCCGATGATATCTTTAGGAAATATTTACTTTAATAATAACAGGCAGAATACAGGAAAATGTAATTAAATAATTATACATGAAACAAAAATAACTACGTTGAAATATAGTTTATATAAATAAAACTTTTAGCCATGCGATTAAGCTTGACCGGCACAGCGTTGCCCACTTTTGCATATTTTCGTTTAATCAAAATATTTTAGGAAACTAAAATAACATGGCAAATAAATAAATATATGTGGCAACTTGACATTTTTTACAGCAGAGCTACGACCTGAATGCCCAATGGAAAATTTAAATTCCAGCTAGCCAGCCGGGCGCGGAATATGTCCATGGTTGGCAACAATGAATTTAAAAATCGCGCCCTCGATTACGTAACTAAAAGTTTAATTGGCATCGCTTATTTAAGGTATTTAGCATATACTGTATGTTCGAAAAAACGGCGTCCAGTTGGCTTAGAAATGACGATCGATGAAATTCCCTATATAATTTTACTTAAAATGACAGATATCTTCATTTCATAGCCGTATTTTTTTTCGATCATGCGGTATATAATTTGTGTATGCTGGAATGAACTAAAAATATATTAAATCTATCGGTAATGTTAAGCAATTTTCCTTTTGTATTGATTTGAAACTTGACAATATCGATTTTTTGTCTGCATTCCTTTCGCTGCTTGAGGTCCATTTGCCAGTCGATAACGCTATTTCCTATTGAATTTCTCTTTTATAATGCCTAGTATGTCACCGATTTGCAATTGACATCAATTATTACAAATAAGCTATAACAGTGCGTCACGTGAGCTGTCAATTGTGGAAGATGGCTTGGAGTTCCAAACATAATAAATTTAAAAAAAAATTGTGTAATTTTTTTCAATATTTTAATAGTTATTCTGGAGACGCATCCAACAAATCACAGATTATTAAAAATGGTCCTACAGGGTGGTCCGAACTGTATTCCGGAAACTTTGATAGCCTATTCTGCAGATAAAAATAAGTAAAATGTTTGTGTCGTTCGCATGCTTAATTTCGGAGATTTTCATTTTTATTTCGATATTTTCCAAATAATTTCTTAAGTAACGTCAATATTTGGATGAAAATTGGTGTCTGGGAGTTGTTTGACATGAGAAATTTGCTTTTATTGTCAATATGACTCCTATTTGTTGGGGACGCCACCTACACTTGTTTTAACTGTTTTGAAGAGTAATGACTATCGTCCATACCTGTATAAAACTGAGTGAAAAATATACATTTCCGTGATTTTTTACGTAAAAAATGTCTCTTGCAACGAGCAACAATTCTCAAGATATTTAGAATGGAAATAGTAAATACATACATCAAAAAAATAAACATGTTGAGTAGATAGTTATTTGCTTAAAATAATAATTTTAGAAACTTTTTATTTTTTTTAAATTAATCTTAAATTTTTCTTCGAAAAAATGACGATAAAACAGTTTCTGTTGTACCTTTGATACAAAAACATTTCAAATTTATGATTTCAGTCTAATAACTATTTAGTCAACATTATTAAATTTATGTCAATGATGACAGGTATCGATACTTTCGATTCCAAATATCTCGAGAACCATTTTTTGTAGCTATTTTTACCAAGAAACTTTTTTACGTAAAAAACGTCTTAAATGTTAACCAATTAAAACATATGTAGGTGGCGCCCTCTACAAGTAGGAGTCCTATTGACATCAAAATCAAATTTCTCATGTGAACAAATTCCCAGGCACCAATTTTCATCGAAATATTAACGTTACTTCAGGAATTATTAGAAAAGGCAAAATAAAAATGAAACTTCTACACCCTGTATCTCTGAAACTAAACGTTTTAGGACATACATTTATACGATTTTTTTTACTTATTTTTATCCTCAGAATATGCTGCTGAAGTCTCCGGAATACAGTTCTGACCACCCTGTATAAGTGCTATCACTAAGTTTGTTTTATTTATTTAAATTATTAGGTATATTAAACTTAATTGTGTATTGTGTTCTAAAACCAATAAAATACTCTATTAAAATTAAACAAATATAAGAAAACAAATAGACGGACAAGGTTTGTCTGTGAAGTTATGGAAAGGAAGAGAAAAGGAAGAAGAAAAAGTAGGAAAAATTCTTAATGGAAAGCGCGGACGGTCTTGCATTTAAAAGGGACGAATTTGAATAAATATGCGCATAATCGTGAGGAATTGAATTCGGGTCGAGTACGTGGATTTGGAAGGTGAAAAGGGGACCAGATTGGAGGTCACCTCTCTCTACAACTGCTTTTTGTTCTTGGCATTTTCACATGAATATCCTCCTCAGTAATTTTCAAGTCTAAAAAATATTCTACGAGTATTATAATCAGGGCCAGTCAACTGACCTTGAACGATCTGTTATTGAAATAGTAATTTCCTGGTGCGCTAGATGGCGTATCTAGTTTTTATAGTTGCCTAAAAATTGCGTACAACATTGTTAAGTTTTTATAGTTGCCTAAAAACTGATAAAAAGGGAAATATTTTTTTTTACTGATCTAAACCACAATTTTCAGTTTATTACTATTTCTGAACTTTCGATCTTCATTGTTGTAATTAATGTACTTTTCCACTGGATTTGTCATTTTAGATTTTTATTGCGACAGGTGAGGAAGTAGTTTGTGGCAAAAAAAACATCATTTTTATAAACCGAGTTAGTACTTTGTATGAAAACATTGTTTATTTAAAATGAAATTGTTTCAGGTACATACGTACTTTATTACAAGACTCGCCCAATTTTTGTATTACAACAATTTTTGCTTCCATTTTTATGTTACTTTTACTCTTAATTTTTTGTAAAAATCATGTACCTATAAAACTATTTCGAGGAAGTATTTGAAAGTAGGTTATTTATATTATCTTTATTAATAAATACCTATAGATATTAGATTATTTTCTTTGTTCCCAGAGTAGTTACGAACCAGTCAGCAACAATCAGATGTAAGAAAATAAGTTTTCATACTGTTGTGTGAAAATCTGATTGTTTCTGTATCTACACTTCCAACAACTTATACAATAATAATAAAATATGGTATATTCAAATTTTCCGCCAGGTTTAGTTTATACCTGGCACATTAGATGGCGCCACTTTAAATTTGAAACTAAAAAATACACAGGAGTTAGCGTTCTTCTTTAGTATGCTCTGTGATTATAATTAAAAATACGATTTGGGCATCTTTTAACCGGCCAGGACAAGACACGAAAAACACTATACGATCAAATCTATTTTTCCAAGGTTCCTTGATTATAAATTATTGTTTTTAACACAGCCATGGCATTCTAGATTGAGATTTAAAATATGATTTTTTAAGCGAAAATGTCAAAAGTTGATTGGTGATGTCATTCTATTCAGAGTGTCATTTTCTATCGAATAAAGTAAAAAAATACCGAAGGTGCCATTTAAAAATCAAAAGTTGTAGTCATTTCCGGCGAAACAGGAAGTGACCGAAAACAATTGAATACGTCAATCAATTCAAATTTATGTTGTATACTAATACACCAAATCTCGTTTTTTTATCTGAAAAAATAAAAAAAATATAGGGGGTGTGAATTTTTTCCTTGATATTCAGTAGATTTATTCTGTTTGGTTCTAACTTTTAATTCCTTCCTGAATGTTACAAAACTAGATAATACAGAAAAGTTATTTACTTCTATGAGCTTTATCTGTGGGATCCCTCCTGAGCACAACCCGTTTCTGAGCCGCCGATGCCGATCCGCTGTCCACGTCATGAATCACAATCCGTATAGCTTCTGCGTCTACCGAAGCCTGTCTTCTAGGCGCGGCTTCTAGGTCCTCCAGGGCCGGAGTAGGTCTTGGTGGTACTATTGTTCTGATACCTCCAATGTCCGGTCTGAAATATTTAGATATGATTTAGAATAGTTGATAAAAGTGGAGGTTGTAATTGAACAAGCAGTGCTAGATATGCCACTGCTTGAAACATAAATGATAGAGTTATCTAATAGTGTTAACTGTCAAAATTGTGTATTATTCAAGTACTTTTATAGACTTTTTATTTTTATTAGCAGGGTTGTTATGTTATAAATACCTATGTTGTTTAAAAACAATTTAAAATTCAAATGTTTTAGGCTAAGAACATAGTGGAGCGACGAGGATAGCGGCGATCAAGCAGCGCGACATCGCGTCCAAAAACTAAAATAAAAAAACAAACCTGTGAAGGCAAGTACGTGTGAACATAGTAAAGCGATCTGCTCGAGCGGTTAGATCGAGCGGCGAGATCGATTCAAATAATTTTGTTTTCGTCGCTCTGTCGTGCTGTAGAAAATGATAGATTATCAAAAATTAATAGATTTAGTATTTGTAAGAGAGATTTTATGGGATCAGAAAGATAGTAATCACCATAACCGGTACATTTTATATAAGTTATGAGTTGAAGTGGCAACAAATTTTCAAAAAGAATATAAAACCTGCCATACTTTCTCCGGTTTTTGAAAATTTCATGTAACCAAACGTTTGCGACATTGCTGCCCATAATTTTAGCCACTGTTAACATTTTAAATTATCAATAAGCAAATAAAATAATAAATTTGCAAAAGTACCTCGCTATTTCTCGCCGCTCTACTATGTTTTAACACCTCGAGGCTTGATCGACGCGTTATCGTGCTGCTTGCTCGCCACTGTCCTCGTCGCTCCACTATGTTCTTAGCCTTAGACGTGTTTAAAAAACACATTTATGTACTTGTTTTAAACTTCTTTTAAATATGTTTGGTGTGCAGATGTTTTTTAATAAAAAATAAGATAAATTCTTTCTTTCATATATTAATTTAATAGAAAAAGAGATTAGTCTGGGAATTCCTGGATAAATTGGGAGCTCTGCCCGAAATGAACAGAATTAAATTTTGAATTTTTTTAAAATAACCATGGCACTTAATCAACCTAGTTTTAACTTGGAGGAGTACCATTAAGTTCACTAAAAATCGAAATAAGTCTTGCCGCATTATATTTTCCCAACAAAGTTTTTAATTGTGAAGGCCATCTACACTATGTAGTTTAAAACAGAGTTTAAAACAAGTCTTAAACATAATCCCGACTTTAGGGTTTAAATCCTGTTTAAATCTACAAAAAACTGTTTTAAACCATAAAGAACAAATTTTGTTTAAAAATATAAACCATGATTTTTTTTCTACCCTGTTTATTACATACTGGTTTATGTTTTTGATCGGTAAAACATTTTAATACATAGAAATTACACTAGAGTAATCAGTCTAGCAAAACTCTAAATTTTCTAAAACTATTGAACTATAAATTAAGTCATATTATTTTTGCAGCCTAAAATTGGTATATTTTGTGTACTCTGGAGTCTTGATAAATTCTATGCATGTGCTTACTGTGTCTTGTGGATCATAAATATTATATTATTTTGAAAATGCCTAATTGTGTCTAACTAAACTAAACACATGTTTTTTTTCTATTGTGTTGTTTATATTTGTGTTGTCTTACATAACACATCATTTTATATTACTTTTTACATACATATACATATTTTTACCTTTGATAATTAAGTGTATTATAGATAATTAATTACTATTTGTGTGTGAAACATTGTGTATTATTCAGTGTTTAAGAAACATTGAACAAACATATAGTACCATACGATCGAAAAAAAAACGGCGTCAAAGACGGCTGGGAAATGAAAATCGATAATAATTTCTGTGAGGTCAAGCCCTAGACGTCATTTCTTCGCCCGTATATTTCTTTATTTTTTAATGGCCCTTACTGCCAGCTAGCTTTAAGAAGGTTGTAATCTATTTTTATTGAGTTGAAGTTATTTTTAAATGTTTTTTGTTTAAATAGATTTGTATGTCTGGAAACTTTCTATCCTTTTTTAATCGTTCTACCGGGTGCGTCTAAAAAACGAGATTTAATATGTTAGTATATGACACAAATTGGGATTGATTGACCTATTCAATTGTTTTCGGTTACTTCCTGTTTCACCGGAAATGACTTTGGATTTTTATATGACACTCTCGGTATTTTTTTACTTTATTCGATAGAAAATGACACTCTGAATAGAATAATATATCATATGTCAACTTTTGATATTTTCCCTTATGGTTTATTTGAAATTCTAACATGCGGCTCATAACGACACTTTGATTAGAAATACCAAGTGTGTGGTACCAAGTTATTCGTAAAATAGTGCTTTTTCCAAATATGCTAATGAGCCACTCTTGTCCTATTTGAAAAAATTGAGATATGATTAAAAAAAACGATTTGGGCATTTTTTAACCGGTCAGGACAAGACACGAAAAACATTAGATGATCAAACCTATTTTTCCAAGGCTCCTTCATTAAAAATTAGTGTCTCTAAGACAGTCATGGCACTCTAGAATAAAATATAAAATACGATTTTTTAAGCTGAAATGTCAAAAGTTGACATAATGATATGTCATTCTATTCAGAGTGTCGATCCCTATCAAATAACGTAAAAATATACCATATACTAACATACCAATTCTCGTTTTTTATCTGAAAAAATAAAAAAAAGTTATAGGGGTGAGCCACTTTTCAGACACACCCGATATAATTAGTAGTAATTTTTGAAAATAAGGTGCCCGGTGGCGTAGAGGTACAGGCTCTTGTCTACCAATCTCAAGGTGTGGGTTCGATTCCCATACCCGGCATTTCATCAGCCGACTATTTTTATTAAAATAAAAATAGTTTGGGTACCTAGGTCGACTCAGCCTTAAATGAGTACTTGGGATTCACAATCCTGAGGTAATAATAGGCGGTTAAAGCGTAGTGCTAGCCACATTACCTTCCTTGTATACCGAACGGCTCTAGTATAGCAAGCTGTACCTTGCTACTCCCACGGCGTTAAATGCTATATACGGGAGCTATTATTATTATTATTATTATAATTTTTGAAAATTTTTGTATCACATTTTAGTAATTGACGTCTAGAGCTTAACCTCGCCAAAATTATCATCGATTTTCATTCCCAAGCCGTCTTTGATGCCTTTTTTTTCTCGATCGTATGGTACATCTATAACTAGAACACGTAGAAATAAACATAAATTACTTTCTTACACAATTTTCATAACTATGATACAAATTTCTTTTACAAATTACGTGTAACAAAACTAAACAATTTATCTAAACTCAGTGTTCCATTTCAATTAATTCTAATTGTGCTAGAACATATTCTTTTTGACACTTTTATAACAGATAAAATTAAGACAAAAGATATAAGACCTTTTTTTCGTCAGCAAATGTCTGCGCACTTTCGCTTGAAACCTGCAAAACAAAAGAAGAAAAACGAGAAAAATACAAGAGAAAAAGAAAACGGAGAGAAGAGAGAGGTAAACCGTCGGTTTTGTCTCGATACGGAAAAAAGATCTAGTAATTTGGTTGCGATGTGACAAGGCGATGGAAAATCGATACGCCGTGGGCTCTAGTTATGTGTCGCGTTCAGGGTTGGGTCCGTAGAAAATTGACAATTTACTACATCCAATTTTTTTGCTATGTCTCATTTTATTAATTAAAAAAAAATGTGTCACGGGGTGTCTGCATAAAATAATAATATACAGGGTGGTCTGAACTGTATTCCGGAAACTTCGGCAGCATATTCTGCAGATAAAAATAAGTAGAAATGTTCCTATAAAGGTATGTGTTGAACGTCAATATTGGGATGAAAATTGGTGTCTGTGAGTTTTTTGACATGAGAAATTTGATTTTGATGTCAATATGACTCTTACTTGTAGACTCCCCACCTTACCCGCCACCTACATATTTTTTAACCAGTTTGAAGAGTAATAACTTTTCGTCCGTACCAGTATAAATCTACCGTAATACGTAAAAACCTTTTAGTACCTTTTACGTAAAAAAAGTCTTTTTGTAAAAATCGCTACGAGTTATGGTTCTCGAGATATTTGGAATCTAAATTATCAATACCTGTCTTCATTGACATCAAATTAAACACGTTAACTAAATAGTTATTAGACTGAAATCATAAATTTCAAATGTTTTGGTGCCAAATGTTCAACAGAAACTGTGTCATCATCATTTTTAGAAGAAAATTTATGATTAATTTAAAAAAAAATTTACAAAGAGAATTTTTTTACGTAAAAAAACACGGAAATGTATATTTTTCCACTCAGTAATTTTATACAGGTACGGACAAAAAGTTATTACTTACCAAAACAGTTAAACTACATGTAGGAGGCGCTCCCTACAAAAGGAGTCATGTTGACATTAAAACCAAATTTCTCATGTCAAAAAACTCCCAGACACCAACTTTCATCCAAATATTGACATTACTTCAGAAATTATTTGGAAAAAATCGAAATAAAAATGAAACTTCTACACCCTGTATCTCCGAAACTAAGCATTTTTGGACATACATTTATACGAACTTTTTTACTTATTTTTATCTGCAGAATGTGCTGCCAAAGTTTCCGGAATACAGTTCGGACCACCCTGGATTATATCCATAGTATTTTTTTTGCTACGTTTTATTTTTTTTTAAATTTATAATGTTTACAAGCAGAGTTGAGACGCGTCGAATTTTATTGGTGACCTCGAAACGTCGACTATGAGGTAAATGTCCACAATGTCGAGAATATCAACCACTTTAATTTAACCAACTAATCAGTCGCGTGGAAGTGTATTATCGCCCAGTTTGTTTGCTATGGTTATTTCTATGTGCGCTTTAGCCATTTAATCAACCATACCTATACGTTATCCGAATTGGCGCGAAAGTTAACGTAAACGGTTGAATATTCGACCAGTAAGCATTGGTGACACTAGTTCGCGGTGTATCATATAGATAATAATTGTCGTCTAAGCATTTTCTATGCAAATTTCGTGCGATAAAAATTTAAAAATATAGAA